AGACCCTGAGAAACATGTTCCCGAATACGATTTCCAGCTAGATTAAGATCAACTGCCATCAGGATATTGCGTCAAATGCATGCCGATGCATGGAGTTGTGTAGCTGCTTCTTGGGGGGTGTAAAAGATTACAAGTTGTTGTCACCGTGTCTCACGGCACCTCCATTTCACCTGCATCTGCATGCGACGTTCAGGTTTGGTCAAAAGGACCCCCACATCTCGATTGCTGGACGGGTTGTGACACAGGCATGCAGGAAAATCCAGATCCGCTGTCGTGCATCCGACACGGGCCGGATTGTCTTGGCCCGGACAGAGAAAAGAGGGGGAGGAAAGATGAGAGACACCGCGACACCAAGGTTCGGCGAGGGCCATGTGAAACCGCCGGTACTTGCGAAGTTGGCTCCCGTTTCGGTATGCCTTGTTGATGAGATAATTTGAGTTGGCCTCTGATTCTGTCGCTTCCGAGTCTCAGTGCAATGCACCGAGTTGAAACATCAAATCTTACTCAGTATAATCATTGTCGCCAACTTCAGACTTAATCTTTGCTATCATCACAAATTTCATCCTCGAATTGACAACAATGAGTCAAGAAACTGGAATAGAGGACTTTGAAGTCGCTCTAGTTCCTATGCAACTAGATGCCTTCGTCCTCAATCCAGCTGTATGCGGAACGGGCAGTGATCAAGATACTACCGCGCGCATCTGTCCCATCACGCAACCCAACTACACCTTCTTGAGACTTGATAGCTTCCTGCTCCAAAGCGATGTGCAGAATCACGTCGCTCTGCACAACACCGCCCCAGCGTCTATCAACTCACGCTTGACCGACCTTGGCGGTCGTCCGGACCCCAAACCGCTCCGCCATCGTCATGGCGTCTATGTCCACTGGACACTCCCCCGGTTCTACAGATCAGGAGTCTCTTCAACTGGCTCTGTACCGGAGTCTAGAAAAAGAGCAGAGAGAAAGCGACGAGGTCTCGATGCCGCGGCGACTACGACCAGTGACGCTCCTCATCAAACTCCCGACTTTCTGCAGCCGCCAACGCGCTGGATTGTCATCAGAAAGCTTGAGTTAGATAGCATCCAGCCATCTAGCGCGAAAGACGCTTTCAAGGACCGCGAGTACGAGGCTTGGGTCGTTGAGAGTGATTATGTCTGGTCCTTGGAAGATATCCCCATCCAGACTGACCTACAGACTGACGTAGCGCCCTTTGTGCTTGGCCATGCTGGCACTGATGTCAACATCAACGAGCAAGCTGAGGTCTTCATCGGGCGCAAGACACCCCTCGCAGAGTGGACTGAGAATCCAAACCCCACTGTTGAACCGCCAGATATCAGTCTCCTTCGAAGTGGAAATCAGCTCTTTGCTGACTTCCAGATGCACAATGCCAACGTTTTCAGCATCTTGGATAACTTCGAATATGGTGATAAAATAGATCCATCGTATCTTGACTACGCCAAGGCAAGCTACTATGTCCTCGGTTGGCACTGGAAAGACACTGTTGATCCACTCTGGAAAGCGGGTACCGAGTTCACTCATGCAGAGAACCTGCAGTCGTTCTTCATGACCCTTCAAGGAACAGATCAAGCAAATCCTGACCCATGGATGGATCTTAAGAGTCAGATCCGTATCCTTTGCCACGGCTGTATGTACGAAGTAGCCTGGGACCACGAGAACAAGCCCAAGACCGTCCCTGCCGATGGCTTCAATGATCGTCTGCGCGATCAGAAACAAGCTGCAGTCGCGGTTGGAACTACTCCAATGGACGCTTTGCTGGCGTACTGTCACGCACGCGGCGACAACAGTGGCAATTCAGAGGACGTTGCTAAACTGGAGGAAGATATTCTAGCTCTTGAATCTCTCCTACAAGCCCGCGATGATGGTGTCGAGGGTCAAAGAGAGGCCAAAGACTCGGTTTACAACTGGTCCTATGATCGTTCTCCAGGTGGCACGCGATACTTCTTCGCCGAAGCCGATGACAAGAGCACAAATCAGCCCAAGGAGCCTGAGCCAGCAGCTGTTCAGAGGATCAATGAGTTAAATCTCACTCAGGCACTTCTAGACTCTTGCAACAGAGCAATGCTGCAGTATCGCTGGGACATGTTTTCCCTCTGGTGGAAATATGCAAGTGATCTAGGTCAGAGCGATAACCAGGGCAATGACCAGAATGAATGGTTCAAGGCTGAAGCTGGTCGGATCTCGAGCCGTATAAGCGGCCTCCAGACACGTATCAAAAGTCTTGAAGGGCAAGTTACCACTCTGTTGGGGAATAGCCTCTTGGCCACGGTCGAGTCGACAAGTGAGCCTGTTTTCTATGGCGGAAATGATCCTACCGTGCTTATTGGCGGTATCCCGTCTGGCTGGGCGCTTGACTATCTCGATAATCTGTCTATTCGGGCGCCATATCAGACCATCACAGGCGATCAAGGCCTACCCAGCAATCTCAGCACTATCACTGATCTAGTCGAGGACAAGCTGCCCGCTTTTTTGACAGCAGCTGCTAAAGCGCTGATCACAGAGTTCCATGCTCTCCGGCTTGGAGGCAATGACTCTGGCTCACCAGCTGACGGCAAATTCTATCCTCAATTTCACGATCAATTAACCACCGACAAGCGCTGGCGTGATCAGTGGGGCGATAGACAGCCATGGTTTCCTCTCTATGCGGAGTGGGAGGTGGAATACACCCATATCCCGTTTGAGTTCTGGAGCCTGGATGAACACACCGCTCGCCACTCGGAGAATAAGCTCGTCAGATATGGCATTACAGTTCCATCTAACAGTGAGACCCCTCCGCCACTGTGGGATGCTCTCTCAAGCGATCAGAAGCAGGACATTCGCGTCTTATCTGGCCGAGTCCTGATTCTGCCTCAGCCCAGCTTTGCCCTTGGTGCCAAGATCAAGCAGCTCTTCCAAAACACACCACCCAGCATCCTCGATGAGTTTCTCCCAGAAGATGATCGAGAGAATCTCCTTGCCAACATCAGTGAGCTGTCTTATCTTTCATCACCACTCTCCGGCTTCACCAGCGGTCTCGTCACCCAAGCAGAGGGCAGCCATCTCAAGCCCGAAAACAAAGTCGTCGGCCCAGACGGAGAGTCCAGTTCTGTCCTCACGGCCGCAACATTCGACCCCGCTGGCCTGACACAAGATAAACTCCAGCTCATCGACGGTAACTCAGCGCTTACCCCGTACGCCGCACTGGTCAACTTCACCGACAGTGAGCACTGCCCCTTCAAGCCCGTTACACATGGCCAGTTCCGATTCCGCAAGTTCAACATCATCGACAAGTTCGGCCAGTCTCTCATGGCCATTGATCAGCGACCACGAAGGAACGGACCCCCACCTATCTACCCCTGCATCAGCAACTTTTACGCTCCACAAGAGGTCACACTAGATGGGCAGAAGTACGCCAATACGGTGATCAAGGACAACCCGGAGCAGTCTGAGTTTCTGCAGTTGCCCCCGCAGATGAACCAGCCGGCGCGTATCAACGCCAAATTTGTCAGACGTATTTCTGATGACCCAGGTGGTACTCCGGGGCCTGCGACGTGGCGCCCTGTCACGGAATGGGAAACGCCGATATGGGGATGGGTCATCACCAACTATGCCGACTACGGCATTCAGATCTTCCTCCCCGACGGTACCTTCTACCGTGAGGTTCGTGTCGGTGGGCCACTGGGCACACTACAGTCACCAAAGTGGCTCCCTTTCAGCCCTGAGCCTGATGCACAGCCCACGCCTGATACTCGCGAGCTTGATATTCTCATCTCCAAACTGGCTAATCCGAAATACCTCCTCGGGTTCTGGGGTATGATCACGACGGCCCAGCAGAAACTGCCTCCGGCTCCTGATTCCTACGCGCAATTCCTCAATTCTATCGTAGGAAAGCCACTTGCACTCGTCAATACTGGTTGGTCCGTTGAGTTGAGCGGACCGCCTCTTGATATCCAGAGCACCCAGGTCAAGGTTGTTGATCCCGAGCGCACACTACTGAAGCCATCGGATCCTAATGACAAGACTCCGTACTACGAGCTTCAGCTGCGCCTCGGTAATGAAGAGGCTGGCTACGATGGGCTAGTCGGCTACTTTGACACTACTGATCCCGGGTCTGATGAGTTGAACTACGACAAGATCAAGACCTTTTTCGTTCCAAATGGTAACTCCACAGAGCCATTGATCCGTCTTGATACAGAGCAGTATCCCATCTTCAGCCCCTTCTGGCAGCCACCATTCTCTGGCTCCTCCCCCACCATTGAGCCTCAAGCTTACGAGGACCAACGCAACGCCCAGATGTCAATCTTCGGCGCTATCCTAGATCCCTTCACACCCATTCACGCATACTCGTCCTTCCTCCCAGCAGCAGAACTCCTCCTCCCACCTTGGACGTGGCAAAAGGCCATGGACACCATGACGGCCTTTTTCCACGCAGGGCCGTTGACTATGCCCGTTACCGACATTCCGGGATACATTGAAGCAGACAAACTTACCACCAAAAACGCTCGGGACATGCCGAAGCGCAATTTGATGCTGCCTTCTCTTGGTGGAGGAGACTGGAGTTGGTTTCAGCCGTATGCTGAGGAACAGGCTGCAGCGGGAGATGAGGATCCGGGGGCTGTTTATAATGCGTTTGGTATTGAGAAGAAGGGCGATTTGATAAAGCCTGGGTTTCAGGATGGACCGTATGCTGCTGTTGAAGGGTTTTTGCAGTTGAGAAACCCGATCGTGGCTCCGAGCAATCCTCAGAATGCATGAATTGTTGTTTCAAACTTACTCTAGTCTGCAGTTGGACGGAAAATGGGATGTATTTCTTTGAATTACACAGAGGATGTCTTATGAATCCAGGCTTTCCTTGTTTCATCTTACTTTGGAGGATCCTTCAGATGTGATATTGTTTGTCTCCTTGAGTATATAGTCTGAGTGCTCACTGAATTCATAAATCCTCTGTGCTGATTCAAGCTCGACCACAAGTAGCAACTGAAAATAACACATCTCTCACTAAACTAACTAATCTCATCTGGGTAGTGCACAAAGTAATCATCCTCCTCCTCATTCTGATCTCTCGCCACAAAGAACAAATGGTTGATCCCATTAGCTCTCACCACAGTAAGCTGGCTATCCTGAGAAATATTACGACTATCAATGAGCGAAGAAGTACCCCAAGTATTGTTCGTTCTGATGGTACGCCGAATGCCACCAGCAGCGCCTCTTCCACAGTAATAAAGAAACACTTTACCATTATCGAATGCAACGGCTACGGGAGTGTTGCGCTGCATATCTCCAGTCGAGGATATTGCTGTACCAGCTGCAATGGAGTGAGCTGAAGTTTTTGAGACTTAGAATGAGATACCTACGTGAGCCGCTGTCGACGACATAATCTACGAGGAAACTTCCCTCGTATATAACGCAGCGCTTGTCATTTACAGTATCGTACCAAGCAGCGGCAAAGGAATTGATCCAGAGATCATGGGTCCATATGAGATCATTGCTTTGTGAGGTTTGGAGGTTTAATTCCACGAGGGTTCTGCCATTGCCCATGATTCTGAAGGTTGTTAGCTATCTTGCACCTGACTTCCAACCAACCCATATTCAGTCATTTCTCACCTGCTGTAGTAGACCCAAGCATTATCACCATTCCCACAAGAAGCAAGCGTGGTGTTGCCAATTGGTACCTCGACCAGCCGCTTCTGCTTTGACTCAGAAATTTCGGAGATATTGTAAAAGTCATCGCGGGTGACCTTGAACGGGTTGTCTGTTGTGAGTGCAAAGACTCTCTCTATACCTTGAGAGTTGACACTCGCCATCTGAGATGGGTTGAGGATGTATTGGCCATTTCCGACTTCCTGGGGAGTCTGGACTGGGTCTTGAGGGTCTGCATCCTTCGTGCCTGACCACAGGGCAAGGCCAAGCTGGGCTTTCCCGGTAGCGTAGAATAGCTTTATGACACTATCATTGGCGCTGGTCTTGTCGATGATAGCTGTGATGGGAGCCATAGTTTACTTGGTTGCGTGTCAGTTGTTAGTCTTCCGTGAAAGACTTCAATTAGGGAGAACTGATGAGTCCTTCTGTGAATTCAGGTGGGAAGTCCGATAACCCCTTCTTCTTCTCTCTTTCCTCGTCGCTACTCACCCTCCGTCATTGCCATTGATCTTCTCTTAGCACGCTTCTTCCGTAACCCCGCCAAAGCACAGCATTTGCACTGCATGAGCTGAGCAACCTTGACTCTCAAAATGGCTTCACCCCGCTCCTGTGTCACTCCAAAGGTCTCTGCTAGTCTTGGCGCGAATACCTTATGTACCTTGAGTACAGTAACTACGACATGTGAAACGTGCCGCAGCAAACCGTTGGCGCTGGTGCGAGGTAGCGTCGGTCCGAATGAACCGTGACGCGTGTTTCACTTGACAAGTCCCGTTTGTGTCTGTTGCATATCAGATCAGATCATAGTTCCGATGGTCTTTACTTGATTAAGAAAAGGTTACATATCGGGATCTCGTTGGCACTCTACCCCGCTCGGGCCGCATCTGTCGGTCGGGATATTGTGGGTGTTATGCATGTCATGTCTCTGGGGCTATCATCCGATAGGCTTATGCTGTACTTGAGCTACAGAAACACCCTCTTGCATGAGAAACTATGGTCACAGAGTCAGTGAAGCTGTACGTTAGCTTCCGCTTGCTGTATGCCGCGGATGGATCGGCCTGCAATGCGATTGATATAGCTTTCGGCCTCTAAACCCCGTTAATTCAATCTGGACAGTGCATAAGACGCTTGAAACAAGCCAATTGTTATTCGTGAACATACGCCACTGTTGCCTCGGTGTGTGAAGTGGCTATTGCGCAAAAGAGCTTTTCTTGGCCAGGGATGGGCAAACAATATTCGTCAATTTCATCGCCCACTTCATTGCAATCGAACTGCTTGTTCCTTTGGGTTTTCTCAATCAATTCCATCTAAGAAGCCTCCCAGGGCAAGTCCACTACACGCAAATCCACTCACAACTGAGTCAGAAGTCATCATGGGCATCTATCCCGGAGGCAAGAGTACACGCATAGACTCTCCTCGCCATCTGACAATACGACATTCTCGTCGTGTTGTCGCTGCCAACCGCGCTGATGCTCGTCTCAGCGCCACTCAGTCCGTGACCGTTCTCGCAGATGGCAAGGTCGTCGAGGATGAGATTGATCCATTGCCTCCAGGAGAGCAAAAGCTCAATTCATTCTGGGCTCCAGGCATCGAAGCAGGCCCCAAGCACATAATCTCTGTGAAGCAAAGCATCCGAGCAAACGGTGAACAGCTCAACCTAGAGGCAGAACAGCCTTTCTACGTTGATGCACCGCAATTCTCCCTGCCTGATGGAAGCATTCACTCTACGTATCCTCCCGCGGGGTACAGTGATGATCATAGAATCCTGCCGCATGTCGTCTTGACGGATCCGCATCTCCCGTGGGAGAGACTGGGAAGTCCAAATGGCGGGAGCAATAAGGCACTCAAGGCTCAGATGAAGAGAGTAGCTTTGGGCGCAGAGAAGGCTAGCAGCATACCACGCAATCGTGTGCCATGGCTTGTCATTCTTGCCTTCGCCCAAGACGAGCTTCGTCTGCCCCCAGAGGATCTCGATGGCCCAGACAGTCTCTTCAGCAACACCAACGATGGCGTTCTCAAGCCCGTCAAGCAATCGTCTACAATGACAGTTAACATGAGCATCGATGACTTATGGAAGTTGAAGGCTGATGTCACAACGCCCATCACAAGCAGTCTCGGCCCAGCTTCCATGAAAGATAGCCGTGGAGACTTCATCTTTGTACAACCAGAGCTGTTCACCAGTCTCTTCTCAACATTTGACGACAAAGGCAATCGAGTCAAGGGCAGTGGACCAGATACATCACAGTACAAATACCTTTCCCACGTACGCAAGATCAATGGCTCTGGAATGGCTCTTGCTGGTGTAGAGGACACTGCTGTCTTCAGCATCGTCGTCGGCAACAGATCTGGCCCGCTTGACAATGTCATTCCAACCACTATGTGCGCACATCTAGTCTCAATTGAGGGTGTTGAAGCCATGAGCTATCCGAACCAGAGTCATCGATACGTGGCTCTCTGCTCTCTGTACAGCTGGAACTACACAGTCCTCCCGCCAAATACCCTCAATGTTCCAGATGCCTTTGAGAATCTTGGTCGCACACTCAACGTGTTGCGAGCTCCAGATGAAATCATAGCACCTCTCAAATCATCCAACGACAAGGCCCAGCAACTTGTTGGCCGTCGTCTGAGCGATGGGTACACCTTGGTCAAATACCGCCTTCAAACAGGCGAAGCGACTGTGGCGCTGTATCGAGGTCCATTTACTCCGACGTACGTGCCTACCTTGGAGCATCTGACCAAGTGCTCAACCTCGGGGGTGGACTTGCAGATTCTTGATAAGAATTTGGGCATCATGGATGTGACGTACTCGGTCGCTTGGCAGGTTGGTCGCACTATGGCTCTTGGCGATCAAGCATTTGTAGCTGCGCTGGGACGCGTGAGAACTGCAGTACATGCCGCCGCAGCAAAACAGGTCAAGATCAATGCTGTCAAAGATGTGAAGGATACTGCATTTCGCACCCGCGATGATCTTCTCAAGGACCTAGCCTCCATGGTCAAGGGTCTTGCTGACGTCCATCTCCAACACCGCGGTTCCGAGCCTCAGGAACCTGGTGATGCCCCCGATCGAAGGCAGCCTGGCAGACCTGTGTTTAGGCATGGAGGAGCTAAGAAGCGATGGCACCACAAAAAGCTCCAACGCCGTGATCGACCAACACTATCATTTGATTCGGGTCTCTTTGAGGACAAGTACCCAGCTGCCGCGCTAGACTCTGTTCGCAGGCTGGCGTCAAGTCAATCTGGTGACCCTTACGATGAGACCAATGATCCACAGTCCGCAGACTGGATGACTGTACTCTCCTGGTTGATCGATCGTATGTTTCTCGCGGGGGTACCAGCGCACTATCTCATCCCTGATCCGAGCTACCTACCGCCAGAGAACCTACGCTTCTTTCACATAGACAAGAACTGGGTCGATGCTCTTGTTGACGGCGCTTTATCCCTCGGCAACCATTTCGGTACTGACGAGGATCGAGTCGCTATCAAGAAAGCACTCAATGATTATATAGGCCGTACTCCAGATGGGATGGACCATCGCGTCCAGATTCCTGCTTACGGCTTCTATCTCCGCTCAGACCTGGTGACTATGTTTCCAGATCTTCGTGTCGAGGTACTGTCCAACGATAGCGCTCTCAAAGCTGCTGGTCAAGATCCACCTGCAGGAGCACCTCTCTTGCGGCATGAGATTGTCGCAGATGGTGTCATGATGGCGTTCATGGACCGCGTTCCTGGCTCCGCGCAGTTTTCTTCTCTTGTTTTTACACAGCCAGCACATCAACAGCGGTTCGCTGTGGCTCGTGGTCTAGACACTACTGAGATTAGGGTTGATATTAGACGTCAGTACACTGTTGATCAAGCTACCAGGGAAACAGACAAGGATAGGCACAAGGCGCTCAACGAAAAGCCAATCACATACACTCCAACCACGGAGAAGAACATTTTCATATGGAACTCTGTACCCAGCCAAAGTCTTAGCGACTTGCGCATACTACGCCTTCCTGCTTTTGCAGACTTACAACTCGATATGTTGCAACATCACATGGGGAGCCAAGAAGGAACTGGCACAGCTTACTTTACGGATGACGCTTCTACGTCTGCACTGTTCGCTATGCAGCTCAACGATCCCATTTATAACTTGACCATCAACATGGCTGAGCGTGCTGCGACATCGCAGGCGATAGCAGACTTGGCTCCTCCCGATATGGGAGACGGAACCCCAGAGTTGAGAACCATCAACATGATGGAAGCCGTTAGGGTCAAGAAGCTCTCTGCTTTCGGAACTGAAGTCTCAACTGCTCCAGTAGAGAATTTTCCGCTTGATGAGGATGAGTACGATGATACAAGTCACGAAGATAGCTTCGTGAGAGCTAAGGGCTATGTTTCTCCACTGGACGTGCTCTCAAACTATCTCTCGCCTCATGTCCGAGCGATGCCACTTCATCGAGGGCCAAGTGCCAGCAACCCAGACAATATCCCCATCAACGCCCCTAGAAGCGAAGTTGAAACCCGTCCCTTCAAAGACAAGCCACCTGGTTCTGAGCCTGCATCAGCACCAAGGTTCCTTCTACGCGTCAGTAGCAACCTGACCGACAATCACAGTCAAGTGGTCCTCGACAGAAACAATCTTCCCCAAGACCTCATTTTCTCCATCGTTCTAAAGCAGAGCGAGATCAATCAGTATCTCCTCATGGAAGTCACCATCGACATCGCACTGGGTTCGCCCAACGATGCTATATACGCTTTGATGTCGAACTACACTGGTCCCGGGGCACATATGTTGACGAACCTGCGCTTCAATGTGATCCCGACTACATTCCATGACCAGAACCAGGATCAGTATTATTTGCGCATTCGACTACTTCCAAGAGCTGAGAAGGGCTGGGTCATGGCGCCGGCTGTGCCTGAGCTGAGCTTTCTGCTTGGCTTGGCTAGTATTAATTCTCCTGGGTTTGGAACCAAAACTGCGGTTATCCAGTCTCGGGCGAGATATTGCAGAAACCCTGCACTTCAGTTGGTGGAGCCCAATGTGATGATAGTTGAGAATCTTCCTCTGTCTGTAGAGGTAGTCATGCATTAGGTTTCATTGGGTAGGAATTATAGTTTGTACTGGGAAGAATGTTTTTATCGCCTCGTTCACTAGGTCGTCAAGAGACGGGTACCTCCTGAAGTTTCATATCTCCCTGGCATGGTAAAATGTAAATTTTAAAAAGCCATTAATTAAGACGTGAACTGCCATTATGGGGGTTACAACTAACTGCCTATCCCTCTTGATCCTGCCAAGGGACATGGAGCTGAACCCAAGTAGACCAGTTGCATCAAAGTTCGGGCTTGTCTCTTCTCTCTTTTCTCTTCTTCCTTC